AAGCGTCGTAGAATTGCAGGTGTGTGCAACAGCACAACTACACAACACCGTGCATTCAATTGCATAGTTCTGTTCTTTAGCACTTGTGCTGTGCGGTTGCACATGCCGCAGTTTCACGACGCCATCCAGCCATTTGCTAGCCTCCTAGTTTCCCCTATTTTCTACTCTCCTTCGCTGGAGAACGCTGGTAGACGCTGGCAGTGGCAGACGCTGCACCGATATCTATACTTTCCTAGTCGCTGACGCTGCCGGGCGGTCGAAACGCTAGTGGTGGCTTGTGGACGCTGCTGGAAAGTATGAACGCAACCTTAGCGTTGCCCCTGTTCTAATAGATCAGAAGTGACTAAAAGAGGTGCTCCAAGGATAATACGAGAACATTTAGGCTCGTGCTATGTCGCATTTGGAGGAAATTTCTGACGACGGTATTCGAGCAATGGCCAAATCAGGGACAGTAGCGGTTGTGCTACCGTCAACGGCTTTCATTCTCCGTCTCACACCACCACCAGTTAGGAAAATGATCGAAAACGGTTTGTTTGCTCTTCAGATGCTTCTATAGGGTCCATTATGAGAACCCCAGAAATATAATATCTGCTTACCTAGAGGCTTATTACTGGGGTGTCTTGGGGGCTACAGGCACCGGAATACCTCACAAAATCTAATTTGCTGCAGTCCTGTCGCAAGGTTTAGTTCGCTCTTCTGAAAACGAATATACCTTGAGTTGATGCTAAAAAGCCTATTGCATGTAATGCAAGCAATTTTTATCAATTTTTGTTCCTCCGGCAAAACTTCGACTAGAGAACTTTCTACCTATTTTACGGGCTGGTTGTTCTCACAATTTAGCGTTAAGTAGGACTGTAGTTCTGATTCGACTGTGTACAGCGCAAGTGTTGTAAAAGCGCACCTTTGCGTGCACTAAATAAATAAATTCCGGTGCTAAAAACGAAGCCGGCGTCTGAGTGCCGTCGCCAAGCTGTTAGTTTGCTTATGATACCCGTGTTCAGAGAGACAGATTACCTACGAAGTCGAAGTCCTACCCAAATCTACTCCCAGAGAAAAAATTTCCAATAAAGTGAGCTTGAGTTCGAAACATGAGGCAGTGGAGGGGAAAGGGTGCCAGTCTGCTTCGTTAAAAACTATATTGGCGTCCCCTCTCTCCAGCCTTTGTAGTATTCCCGAACAGGGTACAGTAGGGATGGAGAGAAATAACCAGATGATTAGACGCACCCTCCCTACCCTTCCTTCCTCGGGTCTACAATTTCCGGCTCCCCCATTCCCTACTATGTCTCTACCAACCTCAGTGCACCTTTTTTCTAGTTTTCCAGCAAAAAAAAAAAACCATCCAGTTTATCCCCAATACTGGCGTCGAGAGGCCGTGACGAGGAGGAGGAAGGGAGAGAGGATGTTTAGACATTCATAACTCGTCAATGAGAAGAGAACGCGAAAAGTCTACTATCTGTCAAGAAAACTTACTCTAGCTGCTCGAGAGAAGAAAACTTTCTGACGATCTCGTCCTGAATTTGTCAAAGTATTTGTTCAGAAGGTCATCTCATCCGCGGACAAACGACTCTCCTTCCGGCACAAGCTATAAACACCGATGATTAGGAGTCCCCGACCGCGTCTCCCGACGCACTTTGAACTTAGTCCTTTAAGTCTGTCTTCGCTTTTCTCTTGCACTCTCTCTCGCCCGCAGGCACTATATGCGCCATCTGCTGACTTTCGCAACTCTAGCTTTTTCAGCTACTGTTAAGTACTCCAGCCCACCCGATCCTCCCCTTCGAAAACCTCGTCTTCCTGGCTCCGCATGAGTTACGGGGCTAGTTGTCAAACAGACTGCTCTCGCTCGAGAGGTCCAGGTATATTCAACGAGGCCACCAACTCCAGCTGGAGGGAGAAGGTAAAGGAGGAGGGATCAGAGAGGAAGGAAAAGAAGGAAGGAGGAAGAAAAAATGAAAGAGAGGAGAGGCTTCCCGGTTGACAAGGCCCGGGCTTCGCTTTTCTTTGCACGTTCCGATGCTTTGAAGCGCTGCCCTCTATCGCCTGCGTCACACAGTTTTCGTAACAGGACCATGCAACAAAAGTTTAAGATGTCACGTAAACCCCGACGACGCTGTACCATGATCCCCAAGCGAGCGAATCAGACTCCAGCCAGACGAAAAGGTTTCAAAATCGATTCCACGACATTTCGATGATACAGTCAGCAACCTTGAACAAGTGTTCCCTTTTGTTGTTGTACACAGCGCATGTGACGAAAACGTCTAACGCCAACCATGCAGTGTGATATGATTCAAATGAAGTCATGCGTGTGTCGTGGACTGACGAGGTCGTCGTCGTTATGATCGGTTTCAAAGTATCACTTGAAAACGAACGCGTTTCATTTTTCGTCAAGGACATAAACAGAGCTGTGTAATGCGTTCACGATTATTGTCGCAGCGACCTAAAGTCAAGGACAGCAAAGAACAAACAGAGGCATCCGACGTTGATCGGTCCTTTTCGGAATGTGCTATGTACTCTGATTGCAAGCAAAAACCGTAGCGCTATTCTATCGTTTAAAGGCGCGGCCCGCGATAAAAAGCCTAGGTGATTTTGCAGAAATGTGGAAGAAAATTCGCCAAGTGAACCATCTATGAAGAGAAAATGCCAAAGGGAACGTTGGAAACGCATTCGTCAGGCCTCCTCTAGCCTCAAACAACTGTAGAGGTAAAAGACCGAAAAGACCGCGCGCTGGGACAATTCCCGTCGGCTGATTGCCAGTAATGAACCCTATGACTCTACAAGAGAATTGAATGCATCCACCATGATACTTGCCCGGGAGCATTACTTTTGGCTGGAAGGCCGGCTTCGAAGCGGAGAGTCTGGAGGCGGACAGTTCACCTGGAAAAAGGGATATACCGTGAAGCAACCTTGCGCCTTTACTCCTTTACCGTACAACTTTCCGCCGCAAAACTGGCACAGGGTTGTCCACTCCGGACCGCACTACCTTCCCACATAACCTCTTGCATTTTCATAGGTCATCGCGGACCGTTCCTTTAATGATTTCGCCTAAGGAAACGGACATGACAATCCATGAATGGCCGCGACGTATGTGCCGCTACGTATAATTGCCGGCAAACGCGCGGCCTAATCTCGAAATCATTCAGTTTGGTCTATTGGAGCGTTAACTCATTGAGCGAAGTTTGAGCCGCTGATAAGCTCACGAACTTTTACTATACCTTTACTACTCCATTCCAAACAGTCAGGCACGGCAACTCGTCCTTAGGGCGCGGCGTCGCTCTCCAAGCCCGCCAGCGCGGCATATTATGATTGTCTTGTCACATACACTCTAGTTCGCTGCGGACGGTTGTGTCAGGCAGTATGAGTGTGTCACCCCGTCGAAGCCGTTCTCTGCCTTCTTGTTGAAGCGCGCATGCGACAAAAAGTGGTAGAAAACGAGTAATACGAACGATATGATACAGTCATATCATTTGCTCGCTTTAACAACTGGTGGAGAACGGGTTTGGCACCGCGCCAAACTCATCCCGCCTGACACGCCCAACCGTCCGCAGCGAACTACACTATACCCTTCCGCCTAAGCGGAGCTAGTGTAATGGCAAGTGGCACCTTTACCAGGAGTGCTTTCCGAATGTCGAGGAGTGATAAGGACACTGACTTGTACATCGGCTGGCCCCGCAAGTCATTGTAGGCCACATCGCATTCAGTAAGCCACTACGATTCTGAATGGAAGTAGAATGCGTGCCGCATCCCAAAATGGATCGAACAACGGCGGAGACTTGATTTTGACTCTATATAAAATGCTTGTATATGGAAATGGGCGCATGAAAAAAATCTAAAATCAATGGGATGTCTACTGAAATAACCGAAAGTACCAGCTTCAGTTCAAGTTCATCTGACTCGACTTCTTTGAGTGTCCGAGTCAGGGAAAGCAGGGAGTGCAGGGAAAGCATTTAGCAGGCAATTGCAAAATGTGTCCTCAAGCTCGACAATACAGCTCTTTTTATAGAGATCGTAGCACTTCGCTGCTCGAAGGTGGGTGACAAGGGCGCTAACGTCGTCATTTGCCTTAGCAGTCTAGGCAATCGTCACGATCACACCCTGTGATGAACACCATTGTTGGAAGCGTCGATACTCGCACATTCGGGGATTTAGGTCAGCCCAGTCCTCCTGTTAGGTCCTTGGTCCGGGCCAGCAGGCTCTATTCACCTTTCACTTTATCGCTCTGAATAAGCTGCGATTCAGACCTCATTTAGGGAGTTTTCGTCAATTTTTTCTGTTTTTTTTCCTCACCGGTCACCTTTAACACCTACAAATTCTTATTTATACCCATCACCTTAAATTCGCAAGAATGTACTTCAATGCACTCGTTTGCGTGGGAAAAGAGAAGAAGAAATCGAGACAAGCTTTCAATGAGCATTTCCATTTGAAATCCTTCAATAAGATGATCTCAATTCTGCGTTTTCCATTAAAAAATTGAAATCCATATTTATTCGTAAAATGTTGCAGGTGTAATCGTTGCTCTCGGGTCCGACTTCAATCCGAATGCGTACTGTTTAGCTATGCCTATGATTATGCATTTGGGTGAGTATTTACTATTATTTGGCGATAATTTCTTTTCG